TTTGAATCTGCCACCCTTGGCATATGGGGCTGGCACCCCACTCCTTGAGCCAGAGGCACCGCCCCCAAAGTAGGATTTTTATAATGAAGCCAACAATGCTAAAGAAAAAAAAATCTCTCAGTGAAAAGTACAGGGAAATAGTTATCTGCATTATCTTAGTTGTTTTTCAGAAAGGGACATTTCAAAGATAAAATTACTGAGGATGAGCCACACATCCTGACAAGTGGGGTCTCTCTATACATGAAATAAAGAAAACTGAAGACAGCACGTATATAAATTGAAATACATATGCCTTGTTCACAGTTTCCAGATACTATGACCTACATGAAAATAAGGCATCAAAATGATTCATAAACTTACAGCTTAATTTTTATGCAAAATGATGTAGGATATATTCCAGAGAAAGACTAAAAAACCAGAGAATTGTATTTATGTTATCAATAATGATTGTCCCCAAAGAGTTTTTTGTGTGTGTGTGCTGGAATAATTATACCTTTTCTATGGCTGCCAATAAGAAAGAAAGATAAGACTTAATGTATGTCTTAGATTATGCAAAGGATAAAAGTATTAGTCAAATGTGAAGACTGGGGAGTGTACTTAAAAATCTATCAGAATTGATTCATTTTCCACACCTGGGTTAAAAATCTATTCATTATATCCTGCAATTAGAAAACCAGTTTTTTCCCTTGTCCTGATCCTGAGCTATTTATAGTGTCTTAAGGAAAGAAACCAGCCCTTCTCCATCACTTTGCAAATTAAAATTCTCCCAGTACAATGCATTTCCTAACACAACTGTTTTAAAAATACATGTATTTTCACAAACGTATGAGTAACTATGTTATACTTTATGAAGTTCACATTATATTATAGATTGTGTACTTGTCTTTGAAAATGGTTACACTGGATAATATTATTAGAACATAAAAATTCCTGTTATTGGTTTGGCATATACTAAAAATGAGATCATGTCATAATTACTAAAGATGACATGGGACATTTAACATTTGTAGGTTAAAAAATGCAAAGAAAATATGGCAGCGCCCGTAGCTCAGTGGGTAGGTGCCAGCCACATACACCCAGGCTGAAGGGTTCGAATCCGGCCTGACCAGCTACAGCAACAATGACAACTGCAACAGAAAAATAGCTAGGTGTTATGGGGGGCATCTGTAGTCCCAGCTACTTGGGAGGCTGAGGCAAGAGAATCGCTTGAGTTCAAAAGTTTGAGGTTGCTGTGAGCTGTGACACCACAGCACTCTACCCAGGGCAACAGCTTGAGACTGTCTCAAGAAAGAAAAAAAGCAAAGAAAACAGTAAAGAAAATTAAAATTTAATTTTGATTCTTGAATTATTTCATGATATTTAAAAAACTGATTATTTCTGTTCCTTAGATATTTAAATAGCTTAACTAATTACTCATTAAAAGTGATTCAATGTTTATTTGTCACTATACACAGTTCACAACTTAAAAACCCTAAACATTTTGTAACTTTAAAGGTTGGAGATGACACATATTTAGGATAAAAAAAATACATATCCTTTTCTCATCCTAGGCATTCTTTTTGGCCTTTTAAATATGAGATTAAGATGTATCTGAGGTAAATTATCCTACAAAATGCTTTTTGAGTTGTCAGGAAAGAAGAATTTGTAAAAGAGATAGACTTATTTGAACATACTAATATTTCAATGAAGAGTATAACATAATCTGCCTTGCTGTTATTTCTACAGATACAGACTTGGGATGTAATTTACGATGAAAGTTTCCTAAGCCTTCTATTCATTAAAGAGTACGGCTAAGATTAGGGAGTTGTTCTTTCTCTCCAGTCTTCCCCATCTCCTTCTTCACATTTGGCTTCTGTACAAGGGGGAAAATTTTAGAGTTACTCTTCCCCAACTATAATCAATTTTCCACTGTTTCCAAATCACTGCATTCTTCAAGTATGATAAGTTTTCTTGATTTGCCAAAGCATAAAAGTAGGATCAGGAAAGCCTTATTTCCAACACATTTTACTCTATGTCAACTATTTTCCAAAATTTTATATTCCATTCCAGAATAAAAATGGTCTTAAGTTCTAGAAAAATCTATCATACTTTAGGTCTGGACAGATAAATCAAATCAGGAATTTTTTTTTTTTCCACTTTGCTGCCCAGGCTGGAATGCCATGGTACCAGCCTAGCTCACAGCAATCCCAACCTCCTGGGTTCAAGCCATCCTTCCGCCTCAGCCTCCCATGTAGCTGGGACCTCAGGCACCTGGCACAATGCCCAGCTAGCTTTTCTATTTTTAGTAGAGATGGGGTCTTAGTCTTGCTCCGGTCGGTCTGGAGCTCAAGGTATCCTTCTGAGTTCAAGGTACCCTCCATGTGTGCTAGGATTACAGGCGTAAACCATTGAATACAACCTCAAGCCAGGCATTTTAATACTACTGGATCCTAATTTGGCCATTCACAAATTAATAGGAAATTTCAGTAACTTAAATAAGCTGACAATAATTTTTCTACCTGGCTATATAGGAAAGTGTGGACAACCTAAAAAAAAAAAAAAAAAAAAAATGTTACTGTGACTTAATTCAACCTTTCAAAAAATTATACTCATTTTTCTATTCATTAAAATGTGTGGACTGATGGGTTTTAAAACAAAGATGTCAAGAAATGATTAGTAATTTCTTTCATTTATCACATGTTCTTGAAGCAAAATAAAGAATAATAACAGGTGTCTGCACTGAGTGAGGTCTGCAGTCACGGAACCATTGGCTGACCTTGCTGATGGGGGAGGGTTATGGACAAGGTATGATTATTGGAAGGCCATCTGAAGTAGCATTGGGTGAACCCACTGAAGTTTTTTAGACATTTAAAAAAAAAATCTGGTTAACATCTTTCTTTAAATGATAGCGGACAAAACTCAAAGTTAAACATAAGATGCATTAATATAAATGTAGTTATAATAGAAATATATTTAAATATTGAAATATAATTATGAATGAAAAATAGTGAAGTTATTCTATATTTCAGAAACAAATTGAGAAGCACTAAATGTAAAAGACTAAAGCAGGAAGAAAGCACTTACTTCATTAGCTTAGCCAGACTCACAGCACTTTAAGCCTTCCAGAATAACTTTGCTCTTAATATAAAACTAATGCTTTAGGGGTCTGTGATTGCTAAGATGCCACAAGGATTTCTAGTATTTGTATTACTTAAAATGCTGCATTCTTCTTTCCTTTCAATTCCCTTATCCCTGTATCTCTTGAAGACACTGATTTTTAAAGAAAACAGCCACATAAGGTTAAGTTAGAATCTATTCTTGATAACTCAGTGTCCTCCTGGTCCTCCGTGTCCACGCCTGGGCAACCACGTGTGTGTGTCTTCGTAGACAAGCACAGATGAGCAACTCCTACCTCTGTCTCAAATTTCTCCATAATCTACATTTTTGTTTCTATAATAGTTTAAGCTCCATTGAGGACGACAGTTTCCACTTGTGCAATAGTTAAAAAGTAAGAGCTCTGGATACAGGCGGAACTGAATTCTAATCTCAGCTCTAAGCTCTGTGACTTTGGGCAAATTCTGAGAGCCACTATTACTGAATCTGAAAATTCAAGGATAGGTAAAACGGACTTCATAAGGGTGCTGCGAGAAAGGAATCGTATAATGTATAT